ATAAACAAAAACAAGATAAAAAAAAATCGAAATATTCACTAAAAAGGAAAATAGAATATATATATATATATATAATTGAGAGCTTTGTAGAGAAAGAATTACTTGACCTCGACCCCAAAACATAAACGTCCATTTTATAGCATTTTTTTTTTAATCATCGTTCATTGTCTTCATGATTGACATTATATTATTAATTTTACAAACGAAAATACGATTTGAAGAGAAAAGGAAGGAGAAGTTTACCTAATCAAAGCCGACCAGAAAAAAATGCTATGCAGAGACAAATGCTAAGGCTTATATTATGTATGCGAACTACATATAGGTAGTCTTGACATATATACATATACATATATATATATACACACATTCACTTGGATGAGACAAATGTACAAAAGAAAAGCTGTAACAATATGGTTGATATTATTAAATGAGATAGGGCCAAAGATTGTGCAAATTTATACGATATCCATCCCATTTTCTTAAAGTCTTTCCCGCCAAAGAATGAATACTTTATAGAGAAATTGTATATTACACACACAAGTATATATGCCTTTGGGAACGCGAAAAATGTTTTTAGAGAGAGAAAATCCTCCCCCTTCTCTCTAACTTTACCAAAACACGTCATCGTACCCAAATCTCTAAACCTAGCTCCCGCAAAATCAAACCCCCGACGGCCGGCCACCGCCGGCCGCCACAACTGAAGACCGTCATGCCACCGCGTCTGCGCAGTAATTCTGCTCCTCCATCCCCAGGGATCTTGGGACCACTCCCACCCTTTCCACCTCTCTCTTGTCACCCAAGCCCCTCCGCTGAGCTAACGCCGGAGATCCCATCAGGAAAGCGAAGCGTGCTCCCCCAACCTCTGAGCTTCACATCCTCTTCTACATCTTCTCCCTCCCACTCCATCAACCGCTCTCGTTCCGCAAATCGCCACCCGGCTGAGATGCGACGAGCTCAGACTTCTTCTCCGGTTCGAAATGTTGATAGAAAAGACCAAAACTTTCTTTTGGACTCTATCAGAGTGCCATCCCCTGAGATCCTACGGGCAGCAGGGAGTAAGGAGGAAACAACTCCGATACCAAACGTCGAGCGGCCACCAGTGGCTAAGGATTCGCAGCCAGCTCCGACCCAGTTGTGGAGCAAACGTCTCTTCCCCAATGCCGGACAACTGGAAAAAGTTGGAACGCCGGAGGTACACCCCACAGGAGTACCCCTTATCAAGATACCTGAGGAAGCTTTGTTTGAAGCTTCAGACGAATGGAAAGAATTCGTCATAGGCCAGTTTTATGGCTTACCACCGAGCTTTGGACGCATCAACGGAGTCGTCAATGCAATCTGGAGTCGACGAGGGCCCCGTATCAAGATTCAAGACGTTGGGAATGGTACTTTTTTGTTCAAAACCCCAACAAAGGCAGTAAAGGATTTCGCTCTCAGCAGACAAATCTGGTATATTGGACAATGTCCAATGTTTGTTTCTGCGTGGAATCCCTTCCACAGGCCGGAAAAGCCAGCGCTAACATCATTCCGCACCTGGGCATCTCTGAGGAATGTGCCCCATCAGTTGTTCGATAGAGTGAATCTGAGCAGGATTGCTACTGGGTTTGGAACTCCCCTCTACCTTGACAGGGCAACGAGGGATAAGGAGAATGTTGCAGTAGCTCGTATTTACGTCGAAGTTAATCTGCAGCAGCCTCCTCCTACAACAATTGTGGTACAGCTTCCTGGCAAAATAGAACATACTGTTAATGTCTCCTTTGATTGGTTGCCGCCTCGATGCAGATTGTGCTCTGAGATAGGGCATAATGCGCATCACTGTCCTTCAAATCCTCCACCAGCAAGAAGAGCCGTATCCCCTCAGCCGGATAGGCGCAAGTCGATTTCCCCCAACCGAGAACGACCTCCTCCCGCACAGGAGGCGTCTCAAGGAAACGAGATTAACCAGACTGCTACTCCAGAGCAGGTGACACCGGCCAGACAAAGTCAGGATCAACGGCTGATAATCCAGACTGTTAAGGATAATGCACCATCTGTCAAGGGCAGCATTACAACGCCAGTAACCAAGACCGGCGCAAAATCAGCAAGTGGCAGTCAACAACAGATGAATATCACTCTGTCTAAAGCAATAGTCAAAGAAAACCAAGGATTTACAACAGTTACCTGGAAGACTCGTGGCCGAAAGGCCACGGGGAAAAATTAAACCCACGTTTGACGGATTCTCATGATTTTTGCTTGGAATATTAGAGGGTTGAACTCTGCGACTAAGAGATTTTTGACACGACAGTGGATTTTGGAAAACAAAGTGCTTATGGGAGCTCTTTTGGAAACACATATTCACGAGACCAATGCAGGCAGAATTCAAGCAGTTCTACCTCCCGATTGGAAACACTTCTGTGATTTTGGTTCATCCCAACAAGGGAGAATTTGGTTGCTATGGGACCCTTCTATCTCGGTGGTTATCTACAAATCCACAAAACAATCAGTAACTTGTGGTATCTCATGTCAAGACCCAAAGATATCATTCACTGCCACTTTCCTATATGCTGCAAATACATCTGCTGAGCGTCGTACTTTATGGGAAGAGATTGTCAACCTCTCAAACTATCCTCCCCTGGCATCAACACCATGGGTCCTTATGGGGGACTACAATCAGGTGCTATATCCTCATGAACGTTCCAGTTTCAACCAGGCCCAACACTATGCGCCCAACAATGGGCTATCAGACCTGGAAGAATGCATCAACAATGCAGGACTTGCCGATATACCCGGTAGAGGTCTCTACTTCACCTGGTTCAATAATCAAGCAGCAAATCCCATCTCAGCAAAAATAGAGCAATGTGCAACTCAACCTGGACAGAAGCTTACCCTGATTCAATGGCAGAATTCGTTCCACCAGCTCACTCGGATCACTCGGCCATCATACTGCGGCCGCTGGAAACGTTGGTAAGTCGCCCCAAACCCTTTAAATTCTTTACTCATATTACTCTTCTGCCTGATTTTCTCAGGACTGTGCAAGAGAGCTGGACTGGCCGAACGCCGACTGACAGTGCACAATTCCGTCTCTGTTCGGGCTTAAAAAACTTGAAGCGACCATTGAGGGCACTAAATTCTGATAATTTTAGTCAGATTACAAAAAGGGTGCAAGAAGCCAAAGGAAAGTTAAAGAATCTACAGACCGCTCTGTTTAACTCACCCACAACGGCCTTGGCAGAAGAGGAAAAAGCAGTCCGTGCAAAGTTCATTCTACTAGCTGCAGCTGAAGAAAGGTTTTTCAGACAAAAATCACGGGTAATTTGGCTAAGACTTGGAGACCGTAACACTACCTACTTCCACCGAGCGATGCGCTCTAGGAATGCCAGAAACAGAATCCACTTTCTAGTGGACGAGAATGGATTGCGCCATGAATCCCACCAAGAAATTGCTGATCAGGCGGTTCGGTATTTCACCTCTTTGATTGGAGCAAGAGACGAACACGTTCAGGCCCCTAGTGTCCAATGGTTCAGAGATCTAATCCCTTCCCAGTGGACTGATGATTTGCTAGCTGACTTAGTGGCCATTCCCTCCGCTGATGAGATTACAAGTATTGTCAAGTCTATGCCGGAAAATAAAGCCCCCGGACCGGATGGCTTCCCCAAAGAATTTTTTACAGCTTCGTGGTCGATACTCGGAGATGACCTTATTGAAGCAGTCAGGGAATTTTTCCTATCTGGTGCTCTCCTAGGACAGACAAACGCTACAGCAATATCTCTAATTCCGAAGACGCCAACTGCAGTGTCATTGACTGATTTCCGACCAATCAGTTGTTGTAATACATTCTACAAAGTAATCTCCACTATCTTGGCTAAGCGGCTGGTTCGAGTTTTGCACATCATCATCTCTCCGAATCAATCGGCATTTCTCAAAGGCAGATTAATGCTGGAAAACACACTGCTAGCAGCAGAGCTCATCAAAGATTATAACCGTGCCTCATCCCGTAAGAATGCCATGTTGAAGATTGACATCCGCAAGGCGTTCGATACCCTCGATTGGGAGTATGTTATCAACCTGCTGAAAGGCCTTAATTTACCTGCCAGGTTCGTGGGCTGGATAAAATCATGCATAACTACTCCTAAATTCTCGATTTCCATCAATGGCAGCCTTGAAGGATATTTTAAAGGCAGACGGGGACTAAGACAAGGGGACCCAATTTCCCCTTACCTTTTCATTCTTGCGATGGAAGGCTTATCAAGATTATTAAACAAGGCTGCAGTAGCAGGTGAAATCAGGACTCACTCTAAATGCGCTGAACCCCTAGTTACACATCTTGCATTCGCCGATGATCTGATGATTTTCTCTGAGGGCTCACAGACGTCCGTAACTAAGGTACTTCAGATTCTTGCAGATTTTGGGAAATATTCAGGGCTGAAATTAAATGCAGACAAATCTGAACTATTTATTGCTGGAGTGGAAGAGAATGAGGCCGAAAGAATATGTACAGAGGTGGGATTCCGTAGAGGCAGCCTCCCTGTACGATACTTAGGGATTCCGTTATCGCCGACGAGGCTATCTAGAGAGGACTACCAACCTCTAATTGAAAAGATCAAAGCAAAGATTGGAGCGTGGTCGAGTAAAGCTTTATCTGCGGCCGGGAAATTGCAGCTCATAAGCTCGGTAATCTATGGGATGGTGAGCTCCTGGAGCGCGATATTTGCTCTGCCCAAATACCTTCTAAAGCAGATCGACAGCTTATGTGCAAACTTTCTATGGAGTCACAAACAAAGCACCACCGCCACTCATCGGGTATCTTGGCAGACATCTGTCGGCCTAAAAATGAAGGGGGTCTCGGGCTATACAGGTTGGCTGACGCAAATAACACATTCCGATTAAGGCTGATATGGATCTTATATTCCAAGAAGAACTCATTGTGGGTGGATTGGATAAAGGAGCATGTTACTAAGAAGCATGGGTTTTGGGAGACTCCACACGCAGCAAATGTCTCTAATAACTTTAGACGACTTTTGAAAATGCGTGATACAGCAAGGAGATATATTAAAGTACAGATTGACAATGGCAGGAAAGCCTCCTTCTGGTGTGACGCTTGGACCGACCTCGGTCCGCTCATAGATTTTATTGGGGAATCTGGTCCTAGGCAGCTACGGATACATAGACAAGCGACAGTCTGCCAGGCGGCCCCAGATGGGGATTGGCAATTGCCGCCATCGCGCGGAGATAAGATGGTGCAGCTACAGGTGAGCCTCACCACTGTGCCACCACCCAGAGATGCCAGAGGTGAAGACCGTTATGTATGGAGGCAGAGAGCGGGAGATTACAAGCCCGTGTTCCACTCCTCCAGTACGCGACATCAGTTGAGAACCCAGGGAGACGAGGTTTCATGGCGCAATTTAGTATGGTTTCGAGGTGCGATCCCGAGACAGTCTTTTCTAATCTGGCAGGCATTGCAGGGGCGATTACCGACAGTAGATCGGCTGGTATCGTGGGGCATGCATATTAACACAGTTTGTGTTCTCTGCAACGCTGACCAAGAGACACACGAACACTTGTTCTTCAAGTGCCCGTTCAACAATCAGATTTGGTCTTCAATGGTTAGTCTCTGTTGGACATCACCACTTGACACCATACTAAACTGCAGCCAGTGGATTGAAGGATCAGGAAACCCGAAAGATCGAGGGCAACCGACGATAGTGAAGTTGTGCACCCAAGTTTCAGTTTACGAGCTTTGGCGTGAGAGGAACAATCGGATTTTCCGGGGGAAATCCAGGACTGTTGATGAAATCAGGATCAAAATTGACAGGGTAATGCGAGATAATCTACTTTCTATGAAGTTTTCAAATCGGCGGAACTCAACATGCCGGCTACTAGAGCATTGGTACTTTTTCAGGCAAGCACGATCATGGCGCTAACCAGATCTTCAACAAGCAGAGTTTTTAATTTTGGGCCCTACTAGACATGGGAATCTGTCTACCTTTTCGGTTTCTTTTGTAAAGACCTGGAAAGGTTTTTGTACATAATTTTTTTGGGAAGGAATACAAAGCACACTCAACAAAAAAAAAGAAATTGTATATTAATATACGAATTTTTATTAAAAAAAATCTAAATACCGTCATGATATGGTAATTTTGGGATTTGTTTAAAAATTGAGGTTTAATATAGAAGTTAAGAAAATTTTGTATATTTTTTTGTGGAAATTTTAAAGTATCTTTGAATTTTTTTATAAGTTCGTGTATTAACATGCGATTTTTCATTAATAATATATCCATTCATACTTTTTTAAACTGTTAAAAAGATAAGGTTTTAATGTAGAAATCGCCGTCACGAAAGTTACACGAAAATGTGGTAGATTAAAATCTGAAATTTTAAAAAATTCTCAAAAACACTATATCATAATAGTATTTGAGAGTCGTTTAAAAGTGTAATATTTAATTTCATTATAGTTTTTGGAAGCAATTTAAAATTTAAGATTTTTTTAATTATTTTTAAAATGTTCAGAATTTAACATAGAAATTAGAAAGATTTCATATATTTATTTGAGAATTTTAAATTTGTATACTTATTTGAGATTTATCTACCCGCAAAAACATTTATTACAACGATATCTTTTAATTTTTTTTTGGATAACGTTATTACAACGATATCTATCTACCCAACGAAAACATTTACGTCTCCCATGTCCACCGCCAATAATTTCAAAGAGCCCGTCGTTTACGTGAATAAATATAATGCATTCGATACATACATATACATATATATACACACACATTATCCCTATATGGCATGTAATAGGTCAGACCGTTAAAGCTTCACCTCATCTTGTTTTGGTCTTCAATAGGAGAATTCCGTATATATATATTATATCATTTGTTAGAGGATATTATTGGAGCATTCATTTGTTCCTAGTTTTTGGTTATTTAGAAATGTGTGTTCAAGGCTTGGTAATTGTTTCTAGATTTTACAAACTATTTATTTTATGTTAGACTAAGTTTTATTATGTATCATTATTATCAGAATGTTCTTAGGAGTAGTATATATATGTGTATTCTTGTAGAATTTGCAATAACAAAAATATTCTTTTTCCTCTCTTATATGGTATCAGAGCTAGAAATCGTCTAACCGACGTTGTTTTTTTTTCTCCCAAACCTTATCGTCACCTTCCTCGTTCTTTTTCTTACATTCGATCATGGCTGTTGAAAACTCCTCTTCCAACACCTCTGACATTCCGAGCGATACCGTTTTCCCCTATGATTCTAGCAGCATTGCCAATCCTCTTCTCAATATCAATGTCTCCAACGTGTCTAAGCTCATGACCATGAACTACATCACGTGGAGCGTGCAAATCCGAGCTCTTCTGCAGGGGTACAACCTCGACTGCTTTCTGGATCCCGCAAACAATCAACCGGCCACACTCTCTGTCGACAATGCAGTCACTGCCAATCCCAAGTATGGTCCTTGGTTCCGCCAAGATCGTCTGGTATTTTCTGCTCTCCTTGGCTCGGTCTCTCCTTCATGTCAAGCACTGATTGCCTCTGCCGCTTCCTCTGGTGATGCTTGGCAAACTCTTGCCACTACGTACGGTCGATCAAGCCGCGGACATCTCAAACAAATTAAGGATCAACTCCGTCGCTTCACCAAAGGCACCAAAAGCATCGATGAATATATGCACTTCTACAAAGTGAAAGCGGATGAGCTTTCTCTGCTCGGCAAGCCTTTGGACCACGAAGATCTACTTGATTTCATCCTTGTTGGTCTCGGCGATGATTTCAAACCTGTCAAGGATGTTGTTCACGCTAAGGACTCACCCATGTCCTTCATTGAGCTTCACGAGAAGCTGTTGAATCACGAAGCCGACATCTCTGCCTTACAATCTGTCACTTCAGATTTTCCTGTCACGGCAACTGTTGCCCAACACAAGCCTCGCTCCCCCTGGCGCGACAACTCTCGCCTTCCATATGAACCTCGTGGCTCTCGCTCTTCCTCGGGCCGTGGCTATCTCGGTAAATGCCAGCTTTGTGGTACTCAAGGCCACAGCGCTCGCTTTTGCCGCCTTCTCCGATCTCAGCCTGGTATATTGCCTTCTCCGATGTCTTTTGATTCTCGCCGGTCTTCCTGGTAACCCAACGCCAACACAGCTGCTCTATCCGGCTCTGCTTCTCAGTCATGGATCTTGGACTCTGGCGCATCCCACCATATCACTGCTGATTTTGACAATCTCTCGTTGCACTCTCCTTATTCAGGCACCGACGAAGTTATTGTCGGGGATGGTTCTGGCCTCGCGATCACACACTCGGGTTTCACTCACCTTCTTACCTCTTCTCGACCCCTTTCTCTTCATAATGTTTTGCTTGTTCCTGCAATTCATAAAAATCTTGTTTCCATTCATCAACTGTGTCGCTCTAATGATGTCTCTGTTGAATTTTTCTTCCACTCTTTTCAGGTCAAGGATCGAACAACGGGGGCAATCCTAGCCCAAGGAACGCTCCATAACGGCGTGTACGAGTGGCCAACTCTTTCGTCTCCTTCCTTGTCCTCTGTTTCCGCATTTTCCAGTGTCAAATCGACGGTGTGTGCTTGGCATTCCAGGCTTGGTCACCCTTCGGTTGAAATTCTTCATAAAGTTTTGTGTCGTCTTTCCTTGCCTTCGTCTTCGTCTTCGAGTCTATCTTTCCATTGTGAGTTCTGCTCTATCAATAAGAGTTATAAATTATCATTTTTCTCTTCCTCTGTTATGTCTTCCCGTCCTCTTGAAGTCGTTTTCTCGGATGTGTGGATGTCTCCTATTGAATCTTTCAACGGGTATAGATATTATGTTGTCTTCGTTGATCATTTCACCCGCTACACCTGGCTCTATCCCCTAAAACGTAAATCTCATGTCTCTGATATCTTTGTCAGATTCAAGTCCCTTGTTGAGACCCGGTTTCAGTCCAAACTTATGTCTCTTTATTCTGATAATGACGGAGAATATGTTGCTCTTAAGAACTATCTCTCTGTCAATGGAATCTCTCATTATACAACACCTCCTCATACTCCGGAACACAATGGCATTTCCGAACGGAAACATCGCCATATCGTGGAAACCGGACTCACGCTCTTAACTCACTCATCAATCCCTTCTACATATTGGACTCTTGCATTTTCGGCTGCCGTGTACCTTATCAATCGGCTGCCAACTTCTGTCCTCTCATTTCGTTCTCCCTTTGAGGCCATATATAACGTTTTCCCGAACTACTCTAAACTTCGTGTTTTCGGTTGTCTCTGCTTTCCTTGGCTCCGTCCTTACTCATCTCATAAACTTCAGTCTCGGTCCTATCCTTGCGTTTTTGTCGGCTACTCTCTTTCGCAGAGTGCATTTCTTTGTCTCCATGTTTCTTCCTCACACATTTTTGTCTCTCGTCATGTTACATTTGTCGAGTCAGAATTTCCGTTTCCTCGTTTTTTCTCTGAGTCTTCTGGTTCTGATTCATCTCCTCTTGCGTCCTCCCATGTTATGTCGTCTTCTTCTCTCATTCCGTGTTGGCCCACTCCCCCCCGCCCTGCACAGGCCCCTGCCCCTGTTGCTTCTCCGACCAATCCTACCCAACCTTTATCCTCGACTCAACCGTCAAACTTCCCCTCCGCTTCACCTCTTGATATACCGTCCCAAGAACCTTCTCCTCTACCTATTGTTAACCAACCATCTCTTCCTTCTTCTTCATCTCTCACAAACCTTCACCCGATGACAACAAGATCCAAAAACCAGATTTTTAAACCAAACCAAAAAGTCTCCCTCTCAACCTCTCTTTCTTCTTTCCTAGAAACTGAACCCACTTGTGTATCGCATGCTATGAAAGATCCTCGATGGCGCTCCGCCATGTCTGACGAGTTCAACGCACTGGTCCGGAATGGAACATGGAGCCTCGTTCCTCCTAATCCGGCCTATAATGTTGTGGGATGTAAGTGGGTATTTCGCACTAAACGAAATTCTGATGGCTCTATTGGCAGGTTCAAAGCTCGGTTGGTCGCTAAAGGTTTTCATCAACGTCCCGGTATTGACTTCACCGAGACTTTCAGTCCCGTGGTTAAGCATGCCACCATCCGAGTCATTCTCAGCATCGCTGTCTCCCGTGGCTGGCCTCTACGTCAACTCGACGTTAATAATGTTTTCCTTCAAGGTACTCTCCATGATGATGTTGGTTTAGTGCTCTATGATGTACTGATTATGAGCTTTGTTCAGATACATTCGATGTATTGATACTTTCTATATGTTTTTTTATGAGAGTATCTTGTTCATTACATGTTCCTGCATGCTAGATCTGTTATGAAATCCATGTATCATTATGAATGATACTAAACTCCCTAGTCTTGTGTCATTATGGGAATAACGATATAATAAGACTAGTATGATGTGTGATTGATGATCACATAGATGATCATAGGTATTGGATACGATCACAATATAGGTATTCGTTGCAGAACGAAATACTGGACTGACCCGCATGAGATTGTCACATGGACTAGCGTCATGACTTGAATCTCATACGACGATTCCATGATTGGATCCTAAGACCTGAGATATCTACAGAATCCAACATGAGGAGTTGCGTGCTTTGATTACGTCAAACGTCCTGCGTAACAGGAGGACTATAAAGGCGTGTATCAGGTACGAAACGAATCATGTACTGGATTGTAGATAGTCAAGACGGGATTTGTACCTCTCGTAAAAGAGAGAGATATCGCTGGGCCCCTCGTGTGAGCAAGACTGTAGAAATGTGTGGCCGCACTATAGACGAACATCGTCTATTTCAGACAGTCGAACTCAGTGAACGAGAAAGCAGTCGAATCAGATAAGGTGGCTTGTCCATGCCTTATGTTCGACATATGATATCGCGATACAAAAGGATCATCAGTCGGAATCATCACTGGCTTTAGTATGATCACAAACAAACTCTATTCGAGATAGGTAGTCATAGTGTCTTGCTAGAGACCGCCTATGACTTGTATACCCGAAATAGAGATTTCGGGTTATACTGCTATTCGAATGAGCCTACAGGGTCATACACGCAGGGAATGACGAAACCGCACGAGAAAACGATGAAAAACCGAGACAGAAGGGTCTGGAACGGACGGACCGGAAG